ACCTTTTAGAGATCAGTGTTTCTTTTCAATCTATTGACAACCTAAGTAGTGCCAAACCAACGGAAAGCGCATGTGAGGCACGAACATCATGAGGTGCACATAGACTGCACGCATCCTGTTCTGAAGAAGAAATGAATGTGCGCTTATTGGATGCACCCAGCAACCATTTTGTTAAAAATAAGTCTAATAGATGTCTCATAGACGTCTAAACATAGATGTATTGGCTAAAACAAGGTGAAATTTGGAGAGATGCAGTGCAATCTGAGCTGCATCCAATGCTTTTTAATGGGCTCACCTAACCCTACCCGTCGCAGGGATGTCACTCGCTCCATTTGTGTGCATTGTGTCTGACATTGCATCGCTGAGGGATGCAGTCTCAGCTTGCATCATAAAGGCTGCATCCAGATACTATTGGAAATTTGGGCTTTCAGTGAACGTATAAGAAAAGCCCCAAAACTAGACTAGTCATCAAATACACAGGAAAAAAATAAGAACAAGTGTAAAGTCTGTCTATTTGACGACTAGTAATTTTGGGCTAATTTTAGACGTTTATTAGATTTTCGCTGTTTTGATGTAATGTATGGTGAAATTTTTCACCCCCACTCAAAACTCCAGATGAAGCAAATGTGCCAACAATATGACCGCAGCTTTATTCTATTAGCTCACCTGTCTTTATGGAAAAGCTTTATGCTGTGTTCACACCAGACGCAGAACCGCGTCTGTTAGCGCGTAAATTGCCGCGTGAAATCCGCTTCATTCGCGCGTCAAATTAACTTCAGAACAGACGCGGATTCGCGTGATGGGCGCGGCTTCTGTCTGCCCGGTGACTGTAGCTTAATTGCTAAATGGCTAACATGGATTTTATGAAGAAAATAGCAGTGTTTATGTGCTTTATGAAGGCTGAAAAACAGCGTCGATACGTTTAGTGTCGTGTCTGAGTCCACTACATGCTTTCAGAGGTGCATCCAGCTCTGTGAGCTCATAAACTCCTCCAGAAACTGAACCTGGATCACGGAGACATTCAGCGGTGCTTCTGACTGAGCCGAGCCCAGTTTGATGACTTGTTGTTGGTGTCCCCTGGAGGATTTCCCCCGGGACACCATCAACAGCTTCTACGTCACAATCACGCCCCCACAAGAGCAAGCTTCTGATTGGTTAACGCGGCGCGAATGTCCGCTGAAGTTCAGATTTTCGAACTCGAGAGATTCACGCGAAACGCTCGTTAAGCGCGTCAAACGGGCAAAACGCTCAATTCGCCTCGCGCGTATTGCACTATTCGTACCGTGTCATTCGCGCAATTCGCATCATTCACTCCACGCCATTCGCGCGTATCGCGCGTTTGCATTGACTTAACATGTAAATCACTCATGCTTGACACACGTACCGCGTCTGGTGTGAATGCAGCATAAGTAAGGGTGGCTGCATATGTAACATTCATCCATTCATTTTCTTTTCGGCTTAGTCCCTTTATTAATCTGGGGTTGCCACAGTGGAGTGAACCGCTAACTTATCCAGCATATGTTTAACGCAGCAGATGCGCTTCCACCTGCAACCCATCACTGGGAAACACCCACACACACACTACAGACAATTTAGCTTACCCAATTCACCTGTACGTCATTTTCCTCTGTGAGGGAAACCCACGCCAACACGGAGAGAACATGCAAACTCCAGACAGAAATGCCAACTGACCCAGCCAAGGCTCGAACCAGCGACCTTCTTGCTGTAAGGCGACAGCACCACCGCATATGTAATATGATGTAAATTTTAAAAAAGGCTGTGGGCAACAATCCGTTCCAAGCGTTGTAGTGTTGTCCTTTGAAACGCTCCAGTGGACCAAACCTCAAGGCTTGTGACTTAAGCCATGACTTCATCCAATGCTCTCAGACTCAATTCCTGGAGGGCCGCAGCTCTGCATAGTTTAGCTCTGACTCACACCTGCATGATAATCTCAATTAGTCTTGATTAGTTGGATCAGCTGTGTTTGATTAGGGTTGGAACAAAACTCCAGGCCCTCCAGGAATCGTGTTTGAGACCTGTATGACTTGACAGCTTGAAACATCGTGCAGACTGTATTTCTATTTTAGTGTCTAATTTAACAGTAACTGGCGACGCAGTGGCGCAGTAGGTAGTGCTGTCGCCTCACAGCAAGAAGGTCGCTGGGTTAAGCCTCGGAAGGGTCAGTTGGCATTTCGGTGTGTAGTTTGCATGTCCTCCGGTTTCAAGTCCAAAGACATGCGGTACAGGTGAATTGGGTAAGCTAAAACTGTCCGTAGTTTATGAGTGTGAATGAGAGTGTATGTGTGTTCCCCAGTGATGGGTTGCAGCTGGAAGGGCATGCACTGCGTAAAACATCCCTGCTGAAAAATCCAGCTTAAACCAGCCTAGGCTGGTTTTAGCTGGTCGACTAGCCTGGTTTTAGAGGGGTTTTGGCCACTTCCAGGCTGGTTTCCAGCCTGGTCTTAGCTGGTCAGGCTGGGAGATGACCAGCTTAAACCAGCTTGATCAGCCTAGCCAAGCTGGGAGTCCAGCCAAAACCAGCTATATCCAGCTTCAACCAGGCTGGTTGAGCTGGTTTTAGCTGGATTTGGCTGGTCATTTTCCAGCCTGACCAGCTAAGACCAGGCTGGAAATGGGTGGAGGAAATGGCCAAAACCCCTCTAAAACCAGGCTGGTCGACCAGCTAAAACCAGCCAACCAGCCTAGGCTGGTTTAAGCTGGATTTTTCAGCAGGGATATGCTGGATAAGTTGATGGTTCATTCCGCTGTGGCGATCCCAGATTAATAAAGGGACTAAGCTAAAAAAAAAAAGTATGAATAATTAAACAGTAACTTTGTTAAACAGGCTTTTAATAGCAGCATGACTTAAATCTGTATAGTGACAATATGATTGTTTTCTTGTAGGGTTTGGCCGATTGTAGCACCGATCATAACTACGCAGGAGTTCTATTTACTGACTACCATTTCCAGTTCTTCCGTCGCTGTGACTGATCAACACCAGATGACGCTGCGGTCAGAACAGCCCTCCAGAAGCTACATCCGGTATCTGACCATGTCGGAGGAAGAAAGTTATTACTATTTGTTGCTGAAAAAAGCCATTCGAAATACGTTTTTTTCTTACTTTTAAAACGTTTCTTATTCTCATTTTTAGTTTCGGAATTTATCTGATCGCACTCAGATCATCGTTTGCTGTGACCGACTGCTCTGTGTATTCCTTTAGTGAACTGAGCGCATTTCATATGTACTGCTGTGTGCAATGATGTTGACCGAAAACTTTGTGTAAATAATAAAATCTAGTGAAAAATCGAGCTGTATGGCGTTTGATTACTTCAGAGGACTGTTAAAATATTGTTATCCTGTTAAGGTTTTCTCTGTATGTCAAAAGCTACAATAAAGGTGACAGAATCTGTCATCAGAGTTATAAATAAATATATTTTTTACTCATGGAAATCACAAAGAATTTATTTGCAAGGCAACCTGTAGATAGAAGTACTTTTTACAAGTAATGATTCTGCAGCTGTTGATGATTTTGCATCTCTTAGACTACATAATCTACTGTAGAGGCTTTTGAATGTAGTTGTTTAGATTACAACTATGCAGTTTATTCATAAGGATAGCGCCTATTTGAAATATTTCTAATTTCTGAGATAAAGCCATCAGCCTGTCATTGCCCTAATGAAAAATCCAGCTTAAACCAGCCTAGGCTGGTTGGCTGGTTTTAGCTGGTCGTCTAAAACATCTAAAAAAATGGAGCCATTGCTATGACTGGAATTGAGTTCATAAAGTCAATAAGTGATTTCGTTTAACTCTTTCCCTGCAGTTTACGGGACAATACCAAATTCCTTCCCTGAGTTAAGTTTTACAGCAATCGGTGTTTTAGGTGTTACGGTAGGGTAAGCCCTAACGCATTTCCTGAATGAGTTACATGTCAGATGCTCCGGAAAGGGAAATCTAAATCAAAATCAAATTAAATCAAATCACTTTTATTGTCAAATCATCAGCAGCACGTGTGCTATGTTGAGTAAAAAGCTTAGGTGCTGGCTCCAGACAGTACAAAATACAGATACAGTGTAAATACAACAACAGTGCAAAATACAGACAGTGCAAATAAAATGTCAGTGCAAATTCAACGACAGTGCAAAATACAGAGCTCGCAACATGGTGGCCATGCTCGGCGCATATATATATATATATATATATATATATATATATATATATATATATATATATATATATATATATATATATATATATATATATATATCTCTCTCTCTCTCTCTCTCTCTCTCTCTCTCTCTCTCTCTCTCTCTCTCTCTCTCTCTCTCTCTCTCTCTCTCTCTCTCTCTCTCTCTAATATATATATATATATATATATATATATATATATATATATATATATATATTATTTATATATATATATATATATATATTTAAAAAATATATATATATATATATATATATATATATATATATATATATATATATATATATATATATATATATATATATATATATAATTATTATTTATTTATTTATTTTTGCTATTAAGTGACTATAAAGTTATTATCATTAAGATGTTAAGTGGATTTAAATGGCATCAGATTATGGCAGGTGAATGTTAACATTACTTTGATCAAGCTTGAACTTAAGACTTAGCCTGAGAGTTAGCCTGCCCCCGGACCAGGCTAGTTTCCCAGCATAAGTTGCCAGGGTAACTAAGTTTGAACTATCGTAAATTTGATTTATGAAACCGAATCCGCCATTAATAAACCTGACTTACCAAAATAAGCCTGGCTTTTTCTGTAAGCTTGGTTTATGGAATAGCTCCCAGAGCAGAGTGGTGGAAGGACACATTGTCCAAGACAACACTGTATTGCATATGATGAATGTGATTTGCTGATTTGCTTACTCTTCCTCTGACTCATTCCAATGTGCTTGAACGCAGATGACCTCACCTGCTGCTTTTTATAGTGCTTAAACACCTGATTGTTTTGTTGACA